GGTGCATCGTATGGACTGCATAGTGGATTGTTTCTGAATGTCTCCGAATGAATTTAGGATAAAAACAATATGTATAAATGACATAAAATCAGCTTTGTATCTATCGTGCACTTGAGAGTATTAATTATTATAAGTCAGTTCTCTCTTTTGACTTTCTGTCATAATTTAACTCAACATCCTGCGCACTAATGAGCTGCTCTCTGGAAAGAATGTGATCACCACCTGACAAACTATCAGCCTCATCAAGAAGACCTGAAGAGTTACTGCTCTTTGAAGATAAGTCATCAGCTACAACACGAAAAGAATAATCCATGAAAGTATCTGACAAATTATAAATGGAATCATTCGGCAAAGAAGTCATGGAAAACATGTCACTGCACAAAAAGGAAAAATACCCTAGAGGTCATCTCCAACTTTTCTGTACTAACTGAACTCTCCGGAGAAACAGTGATAATGGGATTAGCACCAACTTTGGCCCCCATAAGATTATTACCGATCAAAACAAATCGACACCCGGAACTGGGGGAGAGTCAAGAACACCAGAAATCAGATCTAAAGTCAAATTCACAAAATGGAGAGGAGCAGAAGAACTGCCACCTATACCCTGAGTTCACTCACCACAAAAAGGCAAAATATCACTCAAAATCAGAGATTGAAGAGCTCCAGTATCCATCAAGATAATAACGGGCCATGGGGTAAAATTATCTCCCATGAGCGACACAGAACCCTTAGAAACAAAGGGCAAAAACTCTTTCCGAACTACAGAATCTGGAGACTTACTCTCACAAAGAAAACTCTCCTCAGAGCCACCTGGAAAGAAATACTAAGGTGCGATAGACACAAAAGCATTTGGGGAACCTGCAGCCTGATTTGTAAACTGGAGAGTGTAACATGCAGAAATCAAATGACCTGGCTTCTTACAATATGCAAAAACAGGCTCAAAACCACTGGAAGTATTAGGCTTAGACTGAAAAGAATCTGACTGCTTGTCAGAAGAATTTGAACCTGTTCTAACACCATTGTAACCTGCATGTGATGAAGTCTTACCCGAGGAAAAGCCCTTTTAGCCAGAAAACTTGGTATGACCCGGAGACCTAAAATAGTCAAACAATAATCATCTGCCAACATCGCTGCCTCATGTAAGGTCATCAACCTTATGTTCATCCAAATAAGTCTTGAGATCAGAATGAACACTCTGCTTGAAATCCTCCATCAAAACTAACTGCCTCAAACTATCAAAATCTGTGACTTCCTTAGACCCACACCACCTATCAAACAAAGTTTCCTTTTCTCTGGCAAATTCTACAAAGGTCTCATTGTCCCTTTTATGAGCATTTCTGAATTTCTGACGATAAGCTTCAGGCACTAACTCATAAGCTTTTAAAAGTCTCTTTTTGACAAGATCATAGTCGGAGCTTTGCTGTATCCTGAGCTTTACTCTTCAAAACAGTTTGCAGTAGCATAGTCCATGACTCCTTAGGCCACTTGAGGTTTTCACTAATGGTCGTTTTCATTGTTTATTTGTTGATTTCAGAAAGGCATTTGATTTCATTAATCGTAAATTATTGTGGTTCTCAGCTTTAAATAAAGGTATTCATTGTAAAATACTTAGAGTATTTGTTGACATGTACTCTAAAGTTAAATCTGCTGTTAAACTGTCAAATAGTTCCATATCTCATTAGTTTGATACTTTAAGTGGCGTAAAACAGGGGTTTATTTTAAGTCCTTTGCTGTTCTCTCTTTTTGTTGTTGAGTTGGAAACTATGTTACAAGAATCGAATGTCTGAGGTACATCGTCGACCTATTATAATTATCTTGGGTTAACGTTTTCTAACAGGTTATGTTGGTCAAAGGGTATTGAAGTTCTTGTTCAAAAAGCATCAAAAGCCATAGTTTCCGTTAAGCAATTACAGTGTAAGTTTCAGAATATTTCTTCTTTAGTTTTATTCAAGATATTTGATACTCAGATTAAGCCAATCTTACTCTATTCTAGTGAAGTGTAGGGTCATTCAAAACTTGAATGCATCGAGCGTTTTCATGTTAAGTTTTGTAAATATGTTATTGGTGTAGGTAGTTATGTCTCTTATGTTGCTGCACTTGGTGAATGTGGTAGATATGGCTTATTTGTCGATTGTCATAAAAGATTTATTCAGTATTGGTTAAAGTTGCTATCAATGCCTAATCATAGATATCCTAAGCAAAGCTATCTTCTTTGTAAATCTTTAGACGACTCTAATCGTGTTACTTGGGCTTCAAAGGTTAAAATGTTACTTTTCTCTTATGGTTTTGGATTTGTTTGGATCTTTCAGGAAGTTGGTAATTGTTCTTTATTTCTTAGTAAGTTTGTGCAAAGAGTTAAACATTGCCTCCTGCAAGATTGGTTTTCTAAAGTTTGTGAATCAAATAAGATATGTTTCTATCAAGAATATAAATCTCTATTGACAGTTGAATATTATTTATCCACTCTAAAGATTCGCGAATATAGAAGGCTTTTATTTTTGCTAAGATCTGGGGAATTGCCTCTAATGATAAATGTTGGTAGATGTTGTGGTATTGTTCGTGATGAACGATTTTGTAATTTATGTTTGAATGGATGTATAAAAGATGAATACCATTTTCTGTTAATATGTAACGTTTATTCCATTTTAAGACAAACGTATTTTCCTGAAACTTTCTGGAAACATACTGCAATTTATAAATTAAATATGTTATTAAGTTGTGATAAAGTGCATATCCTAATTAACTTAGCGAAATTTGTAAAAGAATCTTTAAGGTCAAGAAGTGCTTAAAAGGTTTATCTAACCATTTTGTCTCTATCATTAATATCTTGGGAGTTTTGTACTTGGGCCTATGGCCTTTATGCGGAATAAAAGTTTGAATATGAGGATTTCAGCAACTTTTTCAAAATATAGAAAGTATTTGTCTACTTCTTTCTAATTAAAAGGGGGTACCAGTCTAGCTTGCCTAGCAATGTCAAAAGAGGAATGGTTTGAGGGAGGAGAAGGGTTTTCAAGCTTTTTCAGCTTAATTTCTCTGTAAAATTCCAATCTTCTTTCATCAATTTCCAATTTTCTCCTGTCATTTTCCAATTTTCTGAATTCTATTAATTTTTTTCTCTTTCTATTTCCAGCCTTTTTAGTTCTATATTTTTCATTTCCAGTTAGTCCTATTCTTCTTCTTTCAGTTTCCAAAACGTCATGTCCAAAAACTCCCTCATCACTATAGTGATTCAACACAATTTTCAAAATCTGAAATTTCCTCATAGCAGGTTTGGCCTCAAATTTGAAACGTGAAGAAATTTGCAATAAATCTGATTTGCGCAATTCACTGACTGTCTCAAGGTCAGGGGACTTTAGAAACTTCCCAAGTTTAAACACCATGTTGCTGGTTTCACAATTACATTGTTGCAAAATTGCAGAAATTTGAAATATATTCGACAATAGGTCTCAAATGTCAAATGAATTCTATCCCGGACGAGCCCCCAATTTTGTTACGGTGTAATAATTTGCTGTGACAAAAGGTTTTTAACGTCCCCCTTGAACCAGCAAAATAGAACACAGACAAGTCTCAAATATTCAATAATATATTGAACAGACAATGAGTAAACTACAATGAATGACAATACAGATTTCTAGTACAATGAAATTGGGTCACAAATATCAAATATTAACTCACCAGAGTCTTGACATTGGTGAGAAAAGATATACTGATTGAAGGTTGTTTACAATTACAACTGTTGAATAGGCAAGAACGGTCAGTCTTGACGATGCTTAGCAAACTCGACGATGGCAGACACATGTGTATAAATCCAGTCATGTGCAAAAGGTCCATGCCGCACAACTCAACAACTAGCCTTTATATAGCTCATACACAGTTCTCGATAATTCTAGCAAAGCTAGGCTCCATCATTATTCTCACGGAACGATATGGAATCATGTGGAACACACGGCATGAGGTCAACATGTTGCCAAGGGAGGCAACTCTGAAGTGCTATCAAAAAGGTGTGCTGCTAAAAATACTATTGTCATTGAACATGATGCGAGCCAAAACCCACACTCAAAACATTGTGACCCATAATAACTATCACTTAATCAATGTGATATTACAAATTACAAAATACACACTCTCATAACACTACGTATGTCGCATATAATATTATATGCATTGAAACTACATTTTATACAAATAAAGATGTAACCATAGTAATTAATGAATTGAATGGAACACATTTCCGGGTGTTAAATGTCCTCACGTGGGCATAGGCAGGTTTAACACGTTTGTGCATCTCGATAAATTGCGTGGAGCTCAAGAACGTCTAAAACTGCAGTCGTTTTAGGAAGGTTGATTGTTTCATGTTTGATCGTTCTAAACCTTACATGGCTACATCATTCAACGACTGACAACTGGATAGTCCGTGGAGGACTGTCCCACCGTCGTCTGGTTGTGGCACTGTACAGACGTTTACAGAACAATAATGGCGTTGCCAGTAAAGATGAATACAAGTGGCCCATCTCCGACCAAGGTTCCAGTCTGAGTTGACCACTATTCAGACCATTCCAGGACTTCAGCGTATCCTCCGCAAGACAGTCAGGAACAACTTACGTCATTACGGGATACGACCTATCCTGAAGCAACATCATCGAGAAAATCATGACCGTCAACCTCGGTTGTGGTGGACGTTGCTTCTAAAAACGGATTTAAGATTTCCCGTAATGACAGGCGTCAAGAGTGATCCGAATTTCGGACCAGTAGCAATTCCGTTTTGTCAACGTTATGGCAACAGGATAACTCCCGCCCTCACACGGCTAGAGTTACAATGGCTTATCGTCAACCACACAATGAAAGTACTGTCCTGGCATGCAAATATATCATCGCTTTGGGATGAAATGGAGCCCCATCTTCGAACCCACTCTGCCAGATAATGTTCATCATTTGGCATTTTGGCATCATGATGGACATTAAACATGCTATTCTTTCATCTTCGTATGATCTCAACATCTACCGATTAAAGTGTGCATGGACATTATTATATTTTTAAATTTCGAAAGAATTCTAACAATTAAAAGCTTCCTTTCGTATATGATGATCAACCAGAATATTCTTGAATAATAATTCAGTACAGATATAAATTTACAGATAGACTGAGGAGTTTCCCTTATTGTGTTATCTGGATGAGGAATCCCACAGACACAATCATCCAAAGAGCTGTGAATATAACCATACACAGAGAGTCAGCAGTTACACAGTACCCACCAGAACTACTTTGACCTTCCAGAACCTTTCCATTTGAATTCCAATTCCCAGCCGAGCCATCGGTTTTGCAATCCCGCTGAACCTCGCCCCAAACCCTGCGTCTACTTCCTCGAAACGGCAAGAAGCAGAGACGTGGAATCACAAACAATGGCGACTGTTGGTTTTCCTTGTTGACCTTCACACGATCTTTCATGACGATGAGGATGGTGGCGACCACAGACAGAACACTGATACCGAGGAGACACGTTAGATACAATGTCACCATTGGGATGTTGTCAGACGATTTGGGAAGTAGTTCACTCACAATACTCATGAATACAGTCAGAGAGAGAAGGCACGTGATGGCATACGAAACCTTCTCGCCACAGTCACAGGGAAGTGAGAAGACAAAGATGTTGAGAAATGAAAGCACCACCACAGGTAGTATTACATTGAAGACAAAAAACATCGGTCGCCTTTCAAGGTCAATGTCCACGTAAAGGAAAGAGAAGGTTGAATCTACGAAGGTTCTTTCAGTAGTGTAAGCTCTGGAAGCTGTAAGACTCCATTCTCCGTTTTCTGTGTACGCTTGGGTGTTTGCACTAATCAGCGATGAAACCATCTTCAGTTCATTTGAATTATAGCTGACGGGTAGAAATCGGAACTGGCATGTCTGAACATCAAATGGAAATAACGTCATATCTAACTTGCAGCCACTTGCAAAATTTGCCCCAGGTAACCACGTTACTGTACCATCGCTGTTAACTGTAATGGAGGATGTCTCGTCTTTGAAGACATCCCGATCCTCAACAGACACTGGCACGATGAGTTTCGGTCTCCAAATGTCAGTCAGTGGCGGGTGTATAGAACTTATGCCATTATATTCCTCAGGTTTCCAGGTGAGAAACTCGTCCCGCCAAGTTAGATCCATCAACACGTAGCTATGTAGGATCTGTCTGACCTGGTCTACTTCAGTTATGGCCAACAAGCTGAATCTGCTGTGAACGTCCACATGTTGACTCTGGTTGTATACTGGTCTGATTTTAGTGCTGTAATTTCCAAACAAGTCGCTGTACAGTCTCTTCATCTCATCAATACTGCCTGCTGCAGATCTACACACGGCCATCAGCACCAGCACATACAGGAGCTTCATCTTCCTTCGTCCCCTGTGAATGCTACGAGGCACTGCCCACAGTTTAATTGAATGCTGTCTGCATTTCCAGTTTGGTAGCTTGCTGGCGTTGGAGAACCACCAGACACGTGAGACCAATTTGCTCAGTCATGGTGGGTGATTGAACAAACAACACAGATGGCCGAAACAAATCAATGGCCATCCAGCTTCGATCCGTTCATTAAACGCTTTGGTTTTCCTCATTCAGCAAGCTATGTTGACAACTAGACTGATATTCCAGCACTAATGGAACCTAATGATCCATGCGCAATGCTTGTCGTCACGTAATTGAATTAATTGCATTGCTTACACATTGACACTGATGGATATAAAGGATAGCATTATCCTTAGAGGGATTACCAATACTTGTTACGTTCCGAATTTTGTAACACTGTGTATGCAATAGGTTATAGGGTGTATGTCATTGCATCTCGAGACAGAGTGAGTAATCTGTCAATAAATCATCGTATTGTATATATACTTAGTTCCAAAAGAAACGCGACATCATGTTTGTTTTTGAAATTTCCATAATCTACTTTACAATCATAACGAATGTGCATGTTAAATGTTCTTTGAAAACAATTTTCGAAATTAAACTTTTGAAACAAGACTTTTAATGTCAGATTAGCCGTAACAACTGAATCTAATTATTGAACATTTTTATGGGAAAAAACAACAGAAACGAATCACAGAAGCTCATGCCCTGACGTTTTATGCACGTGAATTTAATGATACGACACTTTCTTCAAGAAAAACGAGAGAAAGAACCCTTTAAAACATGCGACGTAGGTTTCTGCTGTGTTCTTTTTCTGAATGGTTCAGAAAACAATATGCCACGTTTGAGCAATGAAGCACGTGTACGTGCTCTTGGGATGATTGAAGCTGGTTCCAGTGTTGTCCACGTTGCACAACATATGGGAGTACATCGGACGACAATTTACCGACTGATTGAACGCCAAAATCAAACAAATTCGGTGAGAGATCGACCTAGAGATGGCAGGCCACGAGTGACGTCACACAAGCAAGACCGTTACATTGTAACGTCACATCTTCGCAACCGTTTTTTCCAGCAACTGTTACAGCCCGTCAGACAATTGGGATTCACAACAGACCAATTTCAGGAAACACTGTGCGTCGACGTGTGAGAGCACACCGGCTACACTGTAGGAGACCCTATCTTGGACCGCTTTTGACGCCATGTCACTGTCATCTGCGCTTAGCATGGGCTCGCCAACATCAGCATTGGAGATATGCACAGTGGCAGAACATTGTTTTCTCAGACGAGTGTCGTTTGTGTGTCCACGTTGCAGATGGGAGAGTGAGCGTATGGCGTCGACGAAATGAACGTTTCAGAGACCCATGTGTCCTGGAAAGTGACCACTGGGGTGGGCCATCCCTTATGATGTGGGGTGGAATAAGCTGGGGAAGGCATATGCCACCTGTAATCTTCCAAAACAACGGTCAAGGTCGTGGAAGGGGTGTAACTGCACGACGCTACATTGACGAAGTCTTAAGGCCTGTTGCTGTTCCGTTCTTTAGACCTAGGCCACAGTTGCAGTTCCAACACGATAATGCCCGCGCCCACACCGCCATTATCACTGGCCAATTTCTGGCCAATCACCACATCCAGACAATGGTTTGGCGACCTCTTGGTCCTGATTTGAATCCAGTGGAACATCGCGGGACGAGTTGGACCGACGCCTTCGTCAAAGACCAATTCCTCCACAAAATCGGAGGGACAGTTGAAGAACGCAGTATTGAATGAGTACAATAACAGTCTCCGTGCTTTCATTCGACGTTTGTTCATGTCCATGGGTAGACGGTGTACTCATGTGATACACAATAGTGGTGGTCATACCAGGTACTGATAACATCGAATATCATCTCAAGCTTCTAAACGTGTCTAATGCAGACTCTATAGGTTGGGCACAATAAAATTTCATCAGATCTTAAATCCACTTTCTTTGGCGCGTTCTGTGTAAAGCATATAGTGGCTGGAAGCACTTATGTGGGATAACAGTTCTCATTCCAAATGGATATGTCGCGTTTCTTTTGGAACTAAGTATACATAGTTAATATCAATCACATTATACATTGTCAAATACTGTTCTTACTGTTTACCTGACAGTAGTCCCCAGTTATGGAGCGAATGTTGTTTTATGTGATGCACAGGTATGTCTATCTGTATCACTGCAACACAGAGCCTGACAAATCATACCGTCGGGCACCAAAACTCCATCATACAGATAATACACTGTATCCATGCAATCCTCATTATTCGCTTCTAACAGCTATGTCGTAGTGGTCACTTTTCACCCCAAAACTGTACAGTAGACCACGGAAACACAACGGCGAAATTGATAATGATATTACATACACATTTCATTAGGCTTAATTGTACGCCATAACAACGTGCATTTTCGTTCAGCTGTCAGATGGATTTACTGATACTGCAGATGGACAGCAGAAGGTTTTATCCTCTACAGGAGGAAGAGTTTGCCCTCAAGAAGGTAGTGACTCAGTTTCAATGTAGTGAAGCAGTATGTGTATATGTGTATTTGGGTTAACAATATTTCTTCTTTGCTGTTCTTGAAAACAAACTGATTAACCCAAACAGCACCATCAAACAAATGAAGTGGTTGATCCATTGCGATTAAAAACCCACCCGTAATCGATGATACAATACACAGTTTTCAGTCATTACATATGATCGTTAGTTGCATGGTGTATTGCAGGCGCATGTTTGACAACAGAATCTGGCATCACTTACCGTTTTGTAATCACAATAAAATGCCCTTGACAAAATGTACTCTAAAATAACATTTTGATGATTTTTGAAACAGTACACTTGCGAAAATGCCAGTTTTAGAGTATACGACATGCATCAAGTTAAATACTGAAGCATTTGAAGTGTCTAATGCGAGGTTACACTTATCAAATCCAAGAAATGAACTTAGTAAATATATTTTCTTTTCTCTTAAAAAGCGGATAAGGTTCAGATGATGGACATTTATGTAACGCCTTTGAACTGAAGGAAATCAGTTATTATTAATATTCCCCTTTCACCTCTTAGAACAATACAAACGTGAGATGGTCTAGTTTCCACAACAACTGACGCACCCTCAGCTTGGTATGGGTTGAACAATGTATTTTTGGCTGCCAGAGGGTTTATCATCACCTTCCTATACATACACATGTTTCTCTATATTGGCATCTCGTACTGTTTAAAAACAGGATGTATTAGTTGTTTATCCAGATATATTGAGAACATGCACTGCATAACACAATTACATCTACGTTGCATTATTGCAAAGAAGTATACGAATAGAAACTGTATACTGCCCACAAAAGGAAAACGTATATCTGGAATCATTATATATAAAAATATATACTGATTGGAAAGGGTAACAGTGAAAAACATGAAATTACATAAAAAAGAAGCTATTTGAACCGTTATAAAAATACCCCTAAAAATACAAGAAGCAAGGCACTTTGCGTGAAATTTGATGTCACGTATCGCGCGTAGCACTTGTACTTTGTGTACAATGAACTTTCTTTGTGCATCCTTTTTGACACCTGAAGATCACACCAGACATTAAAAAATGAAATATGGTTGATTATTCTCTGACCTCTGAATGTTGTGGAAAACACACTAATTTCAACCTAAGCTGCGCGTACGTCACGCCACGGCTTACAGAAAATCATCGTCTCCGCGCCGTGGGTATGCTGGAGACTGGACTGGCCCAAAATGAAGTGGTCAGACCTTTTAGTGTCCAAGGAAACACGACCTCATCTGTATTTAGACGTTCTCAACATACTGGGAGAGGGAGAGGACAGACTCGCTGGGGATGTGGCCAGGGCCAAGTTAGACATGACTGTAGAACGCTTCACTCAGATGTAACTGACTCATGCGAAGATACTGATGACAACTCTGATACCTCTGTTGATTTTCTTTTCTGGAATATTTCTGGACTTTCATCAAAACTACAGGATATGGACTTTGTTAATTATGTTAAAACATTCGATTTAGTTGGTTTTACCGAGACATGGAGCAATGTCCCTAATATAGCATTAGAAGACATATTTTCAGATTATGTTTCTATTTGTAAAGATGCAGACAAAATCTCTACATTCGGTACACACTCTGGTGGGATAGTTGCTATGATTAGAAAATATTAAAGTGAATAAATATAATGGTCAAGAGCTACCGAAAATACTATCTTCATCCTTTTGATAAGTCACTGTTTGGACTTGATTTAGATATACTTTATGCTTGTGTCCACATCCACCCAGAGGGCTCCACATGGTAAGAACAACTGAGCCCACAATGTAAAAATGGGATAATATTATTCCAAGAGAAATTATTAGATATATTGAAATAGTTTACCTGATGTGCATATACTTTGTGGGGGAGATTTCAAATCTAGAACTGGTACTAAACCTGATTTTGTGGAAGATGATATAACTGAATACACTGAACACCAAGGTCACTCTATGTGGGACTTTATATTTGGTAATTTCAGTCTAGAACGTTTATCATTGTATAAAAGTGTAAATAATTTTGGAAAACATTTATTAGATTTATGTGCGATTTTAAATATTCATATGATGAATGGAAGATGTGGTAATGACAAAGAGGTCGGGGTTTTACTTTTATGGATGTAACTGGTGCTAGTGTTATTGATTATGTTTTAGCTTCTTCAGTATTATTTGAACATGTCATAAATTTCAATATAGAATCAAGATGTGAGTCAACACATCTCCCGATAACAATGAAATTACATACGACTCAAATGATTAAGAATGACTGTAATCTAACACAAAAAACTGAAAAATCGTTTACATTTGTCTGGGACAATAAAAGACTACAACAATTTAGAGATAATTTACACTCTGATCCTGTACAAGAATTGTTAGATAAATCCCTCGATACAGCATTATCTGACACGGATAGGAGTATTGATTATATCACAGATGCTTTATGTTT